AGTGCCAATCTTTTGGAGAAAAATGAAGGATAGTCAGATTGACAATCTTGTGAAACTTCTTACCTGAATTATGTCTCATACTGAGTCTCCTTCGGGTCGCTGAGAACCACATTGTATCATTTGCCATTGTGTCTTTTGTGGGTACGATCAACCAGGGTTAAATCTGTCAGTCTAGAATGACCCTGCATTGCACCAAGCAAGAACGTGGGCTCTGGAGGTCAACAGATCTGGGCTTGGATTTTAATCCACCACCTCTAGCTGTTGACGGTCTCTGGACCCTCATCACCTAAACTATAAAACAATGCCTAAGAACAGGAGTGTTCTGATAATTAATAGCAAAGTACATGTGAAGACCTGAGCAGGGTGCCTGCCAGACGGCTGCCTAGCTCAGAAGGCGGTCTTAAGTTCTCAAGAGTTCAAGGCTATCAGATTGATCTGTGCATCTGTCTGCCTGCCTATCTATTGGTCTGTTTATCCCCTCACGCCCTTTCTCAGTAGTATAAGTCTCAGATAAATTAGAGTTCCATACCTTTCTCAGTATTTTGAATATAAATTCTCTTGTTAGGATTGGGGGAGCACTAAATTTGGAGTTTTATCTAGAAAATGTAGGCAACAGTGTTTATGGATTGTTATGAGAAAAAGCCTCATGATTCATTTATAGACTCTTAGCTCCAGCCCAGGGAAGCAAGCCTTTCCTGGCAGGTTCACTGGCAAACATGCAACTTCCCCTGAACATAAAATAGAGGAGGAGTGCCGGAAGGTTTGACATATATGGAATCAACTGATGCAATACATATATTTTCAGAATTCACATCAAGACCATATGATGATTCCAACTGGTGCAGAAAAAAATATCACTGGACAAACCTCAGCAGTTTTTCATGATGAAAACGTTCAATAAACTAGAACTAGAAGGGAGCTACCTTAGTATAATAAAGGGACCATGAAGATCATACAGCTGAGATCACATTCAATGAAAAACTGAAAACTTTTCTTCTGAGGTCAGAAACACGGCAAAGATAACTGCCCTCACCACGTCTATTCAACATAGAATTGGAAGTCTTACCCAGAGTAATGAGGCAAGACAAAACTCAGTCACCCACGCCAGAGAGGAAGAAGTAAAATTATCTCTGCACACAGATGACATAATCTTATATATAGAAACTCTTAAAAGAATCCACAAAAAAACCTTGTTACTGTTAGAACTAATGCATGAATTGAACAAAGTTGCAGGGTATAAAGTTAACACATAAAAATCAGTTGCATTTGTGTATACCAACAATAAACAACCCCAAAATGAAAATAAGAAGATAATTCCATTTACAATAAAATAAAAATAATACTTTGGAGTAAACTGCTAAGAAGGTGAAGGACTTGTTCACTGAAAACTTTAAAACTTTGCTGAAATAAATTAAAGAAGACAGACAAATGGAAAGACATTGCACATTTATGGGTCAGAGTACTTAATGTTGTTAAGATGTCAATACTACCAAAACAATCTATAGATGCAATGCAATCACTATCAAAATCACAATGGCATTTCTTTTGCAGAAATAGAAAAATCTATCCTGAGGTTTTTAAGAAATAGAAGGGATCTTAAATAGCTAAAACAATTTCAAAAAAGAACAAAGTTGTAGGTTTCGCACACCTTGATTTCAAGGCATATTACAAAACTACAGTAATCAAAACAGTGTGGCACTAGCAAAAGACAGACATAAGACCAGTGGAATGGAATGGAAAGCCCAGGCATAAACCCTTGAATGTATGGTCAGCTTATCCTCAACAATGGTGCCAAGATCACTCAATGGGGAAAGGACAGTGTTCAACAATGCCTATCCACATGCAAAATAAGTTTTTTTACCTTATACCATATACAAAAATTAATGAAAAGTAGATAAGGGCCCAAATATAAGACATACAACTATAAAACCACTAAAAGAAGACGTAAGGGAAAAGCGTCACGTTATTGAATTTGACAATGACTTCAATATGACATCAAAAGTACAAGCAACCAAAGCAAAAATGGATAAGAGATCTGCATCAAACTAAATGCTTCTGTGCTTCAAAGACGACACAATCAAAGAGTCCTGGACACAAGGAGACAGAGTCCTGCTCTCAGGGAGTTTCATTTCAGCGGAGCAGATAACCAGCACACAAGAAGCTCACTGGAGCCTCCCGGGAGGGGGTGTGCTCACCAGAGGAAAACAGAGCAGGTGAGAGTCTGTATGACCGGGTGGGAAAGGGCTAGTCTAGATGGGAGGTCAGGGCAGCCTTCTCCAGCGCCTGCCTCTCCCCAGCCACCAGCTCCCTACGTCAGTATGTCCATGTCCACTGGATGTCCAGCAGGCATCTCAAACCTTGCATGTGCATTTCTGACTTCTATCCCCACATCTGTCCTTCCTTTTATAAGTGGTAACTCCATTTCCCACTTGCTCAAGTCAAAAACTATCAGGTCATCCTTCCTTTCACAGCTCTTGTTCAGTGTAGGGCCAACCCGATAGGCTCTACCTTCCAAATACCCAGCTTCCCCCACTTCCTTTGCCCCTTCCACAAGCAGCCCAGATGCTTTCCCCACACCTCCCACCTGGATCTTTGCTGTTGGCCACTCCCTGTCTCTGTCTTCCCTTGCTCCTTCCAAACTCTATTCTTACCACAGCAACTTTCAACCTTGGTTCCGATCAAATCAGTCCTCTGCTCAAACCCCCCAGCAACTCTCATCTACTTGTATTAAAAGTCCAAGGACCCACAGGACTGGGTACAAGTCCCCTCCTCCTTTGCTCCTTGCTCACTCTCCTTCAACATTCCCTGCCTCCTGGATGTTCCTGAAACACACCAGGCACACTCTTGCTTTATGGCCACTCCTGGACCATCCTCCCCACAGGATCTCTCATTTAATTTTATAAGTAGCCATTCTTCTCTCATTCCCACCCGAGTCCTGGCCAGCTTATTCTGTACCTTTCTCCAGAGCATGCCTCACCAGCTGCAATGATATATTTATCTCGCTCATTTCAATTGTGATCTCTCTTTCCCTCCAATGGGACAAAATCTCTGTAGGTGTTGAGACATGCTGCTTATATTTTACAAACAAACTGAAATTTAGGGAGGAATCTTGGCCGAGTGAGTAAGACAGGTACCCACTTTGAGGCCAAAGCCACTGGACTTAACTGCTGCATCATGACTGCCGTTCACTCAGCTGTGTGATAAACACATGGAGAACTTCCCTTATGCTGGAACCAAAGCTCGGAAGTTAGGCTTCTTATCCGTCAAGTGCTCCGCTCCTCCCTCCTAGGATATTCTCTCTGCAGCTGAGTCCACCAGTGCTTCCAAGTCAGCAAGAGCTTTCAGCCATATTCAGGGCTTTCTAGATACCAACGGGTCAGGTCCTGACTCAAGTAGGTGTGTCTCAAATGAAACTCCATACCTTGCCATTCTCCAAATCAGAAAAAGGCTTTGAATTTTGACTAATGTATGGATTGATTTTCTTCTTCTAAGACACTTCATTACTCTCTATCTCATGCCCCATAATATTTAGAGCATTATATCCTTTTATTGATTTAATCTTCACAATCACTCACATGATCATAGTGAAGAGTTTGTCCCTCTCTGTCTCTCCTGCTTTTTTTGGTGCTGGGAATTGATAGAGGTGCTCTGTCACTGAATCACATCCCCAGCCCTTAGACAGAGTCTCACTAAGTTGCCCGGGCCAGCCTCAGATTTGCAATCCTCCTGCCTTGACCTCCCAAGTCGCTGGGATTATAGGCATGTACCACAGCACCCACCTCCCCGTTTTAGAAATAAGAATCTAACTTTTCATAACAGTAAAGCCTTTATTACTGGCCACCTCAATAACTACTTAATGTCCAATAGCTATGTTAAGGACTGAATTATATCTCCCTCAAATTTTTATGTTGAGGCCCTTACCCCCACAGTGATTGTATTTGGAGGTATGCTTATAGGAGGTAATTAAAGTCAAATGAGCTCATAAGGGTGGGGCTCTGGTATGACCGGATTGGAGTTCTCATGAGACTAAAAGCTAACCCCTGCATTGTGATACATGTCTAAAGAAGAGGGCTTGTCAGCCCAGAGCAAGATGGTGACCATTGCTCATTGGAAACTGGCCCTGTTGGCATCAGGATCTTAGAGTTCCAGCTTCCAGAACTATGAGAAAATATATTTTTATAGTTTAAACCACCTGTCTATGATATAGACTGCCATGTAGGGGTCTCCCAAAAAGAGACCAAACTGAGACACTTGTAATCTTCAATAAGGAACAATTTTGAGCATTTAGAAAAAGAAACAGCTCTATGGGATAAATTCTGGTTCTGCTTTTACTAATACCTAACAGCTCTCATGGTATCATTGCTTTCAGATTAAAACCACATTTTTCTTAGGGTTGGACTTCAGATCAATTTACTCCCAAACCCTCTAATTTCCAAGTTACTTTATTCCCCAGCTCTGCCACAGTGAAATAGTGTAGCAATTATGTAACGATCAAAAAGTGTACCATACTTCTCCTCCTGTCTAATTCACTTTTCATGAAAAGCAAGAGGGAAGGGCAATCACTTTCCCTATAATGAGCAGATAATGTTCCCTGCACAAGAGGAGCAAATACTGTAATATACAGGCCAAGGTTCTTGGAAGGGGAAGGGCAAGTATGCAGGGGATGAGTGTAGGTCACTGAGGGCTCGGCTCTTCCCTCCTTTCTTCCAACATTCCATCATGTTCCACGTGCTTGACGTATATGTCTCCCTGTGTCGCCCTCCTTTGAATGTCTACATATTTTATTATCTGCACCATGGTTATTTCCATCAATGCTTCCTAACTTACCTGCTGATAGAAACATGTCTCCAAGCTGGTGTGTCCTGTCTCCTAGACAAATGCTGACCTGAAAAATGACCCACAGACTTGTGGCAAAGTGGGCTGGACAGGCAGTGACTGTGCATCTCCAGGAGGCAATTAAAAAGTCCCAGCTGAATGAATGGAGAAGGGGAAGCACTTACTGCGTGGGCCCCGCCGGGCTGGCATGCTCAGAAGGCCAGTCTCGGGTTCTTCCTGCCTGGGCTCCTGCTGGGAGTCAACATGGGATTTTTCTGACACCATTTCTTGGGGGCCAGCAGTTGATAACTGTGAACAGAAGAGCAGAGGTTCAGTGATGCCCAGGACTTTTGTTGGCTTAGTTCCTCGCTTGGGATGCCATGGGTTACCAGTGAGGTGATGGGCCTTAGTGACTATTCAGACCTGACCCCCAAGGCACTGTGCACCCCCACCCCCAAAGAAGCAGCATCAGCCCTGAGTTTTTCCAGGAGGTATTTTATAATTTACCAGGGTATCCCCAAATAAGATGATTATTTTCACCTTTTCTAGGTAAAATGCATAGAACTCTGCAGAAAATCACAATCAAACAATCCACTCCCCACTTCAAACAGATTAGAAACAGCTGCTAAAGTGTCACTGGCTAACCTGTGGCAAATCTTGAGTCCCCACTTTGGGTGCCCCCAGAATAGCCTCCTTTGTCTTTCCCAAACTCCCCGGGGGAGGAGAATAAGTAAGCAGAGTTGGCAATGTTGCCTCTGTGGCCTGACAAGCCAGGGCTTGCCACCAGACAGCCTGGCTGTGGACTTTGGGCAAAAGCATGGCTTTCTCATCTGTAAAAGAAGGAAAATGTCACCGTGTGGGAGGCATTGAACAAAGCACAGCAGTTCCGACTTAAATAGATGACCCGGGGTGGACCCGAGGCTTCTTAAGGAAGCCCTCATTCAGGGCTGTGGTATGGGTTAAATTCAAGGTATTGCACCTACAAAGCCGGAAGCCTGGCATGTCAGTGAGGGGAGGCGAGGGCTGGCAGATGCCACTCTCCATCCCTGCCCCTTCCTCCTGCTCAGTGGGCAGCCTAAGCCCTGCTGGGCCAAGCTCCCTGTGCCTCTGACTCTACAGCAAAGACTTGAACTCTGCTCATCTGCCACCTCGGTGTAAGGGACAGAGCAGCAGGCTCAATCCACAGGAAAGGGTTAAAGCTCCAGGGTGCAGATCTGGCTGAAAGTCTCCCAGGTCCCCAAGAGTGGCCAGAGACTGGCCACGTGGGCTGGGCATCTCCTCTCCGCCGGCCCCTGTAGGGCTCATCCCAGCCTGCAGGAAAGGGCAGGCGGCTCCTCGGCCCAGCTGGACCAGAGTGGTGTGCGGGGTGTGGGGGAGCCAGGGGGGAGCCTTCTTCCCTGACTTAGCTCTCCCAGTGCCTCCCACCTCCCCTGTCCATCCCTCTTTGGGCAGCACCATCACGTGATTCCTGGCTCAAAATGGCGCTCCCCTTCCCTCCCTCCCAGGCTGGCTTCTCCATTGTTCCAGGCTAGTGTCTCATCCACAATAGCCCTTTCCCTACTGCCCTTCTCAGAGGAGGGCAGCGCCTTACCAAGGGAATTGATTTACCTGGAAAAGGCTTATCTTGCTTGGGGATGCTCCCAGCCTAAGAAGGGAACTCCTGCAGAGAGGTGGGGGAGGGACAGCCAGCAGGCGGAGAGACAGGAATCGGCCTCTGGCTCAGACTGAAGCAGAATTCGGGCTTGGAGTTGGAAAAAGAGGGAGTTCCCAGAGATCTGTAATCCTGCACTGCCATCTACCGCCTGTGCTGGTTTATGGCCTTCAGCAACAACACTAACATGATGGGCTGCTTCCCTGTTTCTAGACTTCTCTCTCAGGAGATTGGAGGAAACTTACAGGGAAAATCTCCGAGTATGGACCATGTCCTGATTATGAGGATCACCTATCTGTAAGTTTCCTGCCAGGGTCCTGTACACTGGACAATCTATTTGCATCCCTGTCTCACTGTTCTCCAGAGTGGGCCCCAAATTGGTACCCCAAAAGGGACACCTTTCCTGGGAAGATTCTGTGGCCCCCTGGCGGGGCCCAGGCAGGTTGATCAAGGGCACCAACATGCAGACAGGGCTTCTCTTCACTTCCTACCCGTTTCTTTCTTGGTCGTTGACCCTTTGGGTTCTTCTTCCGACTTCCCACATCCACATCCTCCTCATTTTCAGTGAGCTCCTTTGTTAAAATGCAAAGGGAAGAGAAGGAGAGTGTTAAGAGAGGGAAAGAGGGGTGTGCTTTTCAAATCATGGTCTTGACCTTGGGCCTCCATCCACTCACGTTCAATGTGAGGGAGGAACGGTTAACAATCTAAGTAGCCAACACTGTCCACCCTTCACCAGAGACCTGTCTTGAAAGTTTGTATCCAAACTGAGTGATTGTGAATGAGGTGGTGTAGGGTTTTCCATGGTCACAGGCCCCCATTCATGCTTATTAACGTTTATTGAGCACTTATTGTGTTCCAGGTCCTGGCAGCACAGAGAAGAAAACACGCTCCCCACTTTCAAAATTCACATTCTAAGAAAGATGACAAAGGAATCTGCCAGGAAGGATGGAGAACCATAGCCCAGGACAGACGTGAGAGTCTCATGGGTTGGTTTTTCTGCTTCCCAACTTCACCAGCACGTGGGGAGAAGTAAAAATGCAGTAAATCATTATAAAAGCCCCAAGTTAGAGGATATTTTGGCAGATCTCTTTGAAAAGGGAATATGGTAAATGTCATTCTCTTTTTTTGCACATTATGCTTTCTGAGGTTTTAGACATCAGGTGTTCAACTGGAAGCTCTAAAGTGCTTTTCCTGTTCTATTCTAGAGTTTGGCAGACTGGAGCATAAGTGAACAAGAAGCTGCAAGACAGTCCTAGAACCTCTCTTCCTGGTACCCCAACTTATGAATCTTCGCTTTCTAAAGTTGGGAAATGTTTTGTTTTTGTACTGGGACAAAGTTGCAACACAAAACCTGGATTCTAATGATATGATATAAGGTCTCAAATTTCACTGGGCCAGGCCCCAGTGACTCCTCACTTCCCTTGGCTGTTGGGGTCAGGGAAGGTATGGACTTCAGTTACAGAGAACAGAGCTGAGACCCCCACAGAGAATGGGCTAGGTTGGGGCTTTCCTTAGTGCATGTGACGGATCTCTCTTCCTCAAGTTCTGTGTAGAGGCCTTACCTCTTTCTGTCCTCCTTTCCTCAGGGCTCACCAGATGGGGAGTATTCTTAGCTCCATGATTCACCCGTTTGATTGTAAGGTGGTGATAACATCAAGGTGTGTAAGTATGGTTTTAGATTCAATTCTAAATTTTTATTGGCCGAGAACGGACTTGTGAGAAATCTAGGTCATCTTTCCCTTTCTAATGTTTTAATCCTTGACCAAATGACAAACTGTCCATAGGACTTCTAGTAAGATGAAATGTGGGTCACTGCTTTATCCCCAGGGACAAAAGGCAGAGAATATATTTGTTGTACACATGAAGAAACTTATGTGGTTGGTTCGTGCTTGATATTTTGCTTAAAGTCAATCTGCAAGGTTTTCTATTGAACTCCCTCGTGTGTTTTAATGCACTGCACAGGGGACAGCACACTGTCTGCATTTCTGTCTCTGTGGTCTCGAGATGGTGAGCCCCTCAGCCAGTGGAGAAATAAGGACACAGGAATACTGTCTTTCTGTTCAGTGGTCTACTGTGTACACAGCTTTCCTTCTCTGGTCTTGGCAGTTAGTTTTAGTACACCACGAGTCAGAAATTGCAAGACTCCTGGGATAGTTTTATTAGCATTATGATCTATCACTGTTACCTTCATTCTGAATTCTTAAGGAAATCAAGGTGCTTCAGGCAGAGCTGGGCCCCGGAAACAGGTAGTAAGTTAAGCTGTGGTGGATTGGAATTCATGAAATGATGTCAAATTAATTTCAGAGTGTTCAGGCGGAGGTAAGACCCGGAGTGCCCACAGGGCCGCTGGCCTCACATCTACCCACCTCTGCACTTCATGCCTGTGTGTTCAATTAAACTAAATTCGGTCTGAGGACGCCTGCGTACTTTGAGTCCCTACTTGACAAACTACAACCCACCTTAGCATGTAAACTAATTGAAAGCCTCGGTACTTTTGTAACAACCATCATGGCAGCTAAGCTCAGGTGATCAGACCATGTTCACCTAAGGCAACTCTGAGCTGTGACGAGTCAAGCTGTTCCCAAGCTTCGCTTCCATTTTCTGTCCTTACATGCTGCCTGCCCACGTGTACAGGGGGCTCTCTGAACCTCCTCTGGTTCTGAGGTTGTTCTACTCATGAATTGTTCTTTGTTCAAACTCAGTTAAATTTAATTTATCTAAAGCTTTTCTTCTAACACATGTGATAAATGCTTGTTATCGGCCTTAACTTCTTCATACAAAACATCCCAAGGGGCCCTGTAAGTAATGACTTACCTCTGAAATTATTTTTATTTTTTCTTCCCTGGAATTCATTTTGTCTGTGATAGATCTCTGAAGAGAAAGAACAATGAAGAAGTCAGGCATTTTGAAGTCAATGACATATTGTTCTTAACATCAATGCATATGCATTAGACCTTAGGCGGAGAAGAATTTTCTGTCCACCGGATCCTTGCAGATTCCAGGACTGGTGGAAAGAAGCACCAGAGGAGAAGGGGGATGCCAGACTCCCCTGCCCCCATGACCCTGGCTCAGGGCACACAGTCTTGAAGTCAGATGACCTTGGTTGGAATCCAGCTCTGGAAGGACCACATCACACCTTCTCTCCCTTACACCTTCACCTTTCTATCCCTGCTCACCCTCTGCCCTTGATCTTGGTTCTCATTTTCCTACCAAAGAGATGAGATCAGGGAGGGACCCAGATCCACCTGTTATTACCCACCATGAGAGTCAGGTTAGCATCTGCCTATCACCACTAGAATGTGTTTGTAACCAGGCAGAAACAGTATTTTCTTCATTATTTACACCCAGAGCCTTGGACCACAGCACACGCACAGACCTCAGTTTATATTTATCTGATGAATGCCTAAGTTACTACTGATTGGCTGCCTCTTCAAGGCCATGTTCTGGAACCCTTTAAAGCCTTCCTCTTGGTGCTATGAGAGAACACATGGAGGAACACCAGGCTCAGGCCTAATATCCCGGAATCTTCCCAGGACTTGGTCAGGTAAGCAGCTTGTCTGAGGTGTTCAAGGTCTCCCGGACCCTCCCGAGGAATTAGCATGGAAAAGGGAAAGGATCTGAAATTCTGTTGTCTTCCACACAGACTCCTCACAAGGTATAAAAAGCAGAAGGGAGAAAGGGGAAATACCAGGGAATGATATTGGCCAAATTATATTGTTACAAATAGGCAACGACAAACCTCACCATTATGTTCAACTATGATGCACCGATAAGAAAACCAGAAGAGAAATGAGAAACTAGATCAGGGGGAAAAAAAAAAGTTGAGAGGGTAATCAATAGCAGATGAACGGGGAATGCTAAAGGAAAAGAAAGCTCTCAATAAACTGCTCTGGTCATTATTAACTGGAAAAGAAAAAAGAACTGTGAAGTATTTTAGCACGTAAAAACTGATTCTCTCTAAATAAATATATTACACATGGAAGAAAGAAATAGATGTGAAAAATGTATCAGGATTGTTTTTTTCTACCCATTCTTTCCTGATCATTACCTTTGAATGTGTTTCTAAGGAAATCAAATGACACCAGAATTTATTTTTCTCATGAACACTGTTGCTAAGAAGAGATAAATCCACACCACTCAACTTTAACATGCCACTTATCATCACTGTTTGCATTGGGCACTTATTAATATATTCTTATTGGCAACATCAAAACAGGACCTGTAATTTATTGCACACTTATTTTGTGCTTTCTTTAGATATATGTCCTCTTTATTCCCTACAATAACTCTGCTGGCTTAGTAGTACATGCCCCAATTTATACAAGAGGAAACTAAGACTGATGTGTTTTAGGATTTGCTCAAGGTCATAGTTATTGAATGTCACACTCAGAATTTGATTGGGCAAAGGAGGGGTGGAGAGCATGGGGGCAGGAAAGATGGTGGAATGAGATGGACATCATTACACTAGGTGTGACGCTACATCATGTACAACCAGAGAAATGGAAAGTTGTGCTGCAGTTGTGTACAATGAATCAAAATGCATTCTGTTGTCATATATACCTAATTACAATAAATAAATAAATAAGAATTTGACCTCAAGAGTGTGATCCAAAATCCTCCCCATTCGCTGCCACCTCTGTCTCACCATTTAGTCTTACTTTTGCCATGTTATTAGTAACTACTCTAGGCTAGTCTATTATTCTGGAAATATTTACCATTGAAAGCTGTGAAGCTTTGTACAAGCGATAAAGGGCTTAGGCTATGTTAGGTCAATGATTTATTTCACTCAGTGCAGAAAACCAAACATTTTTCAAGGGAAGTACTAACACCATCATCAGAACAAATGGATGGTCCCTATCAAATGGATGGTCCCTAAGGGTCATCAGCAGACTATAGCTTCATCCTGAGGACCTCTTGGGAATCCTATAGGGGGCAGGGAAAGGAATGACAGCATTGGAAAGAGACAACATTGTATATTATCTGATATAATAATATATTTTCTGATTACAGTGAAACCCTGGGTTTACAGAAAAAGTGAGACCTTTGTAAAAAAATTCTATGTACCTGTGCTCAAATGCGAGCTCTACTGAGCAGCACGTGGTCTTAGAGCAATGCTTTTGCTTCTCTCTAGAATTGTGATCCTGCTTCCTCCCTTGAAGGGCGACTGGTTTATAGGGACTCAGTGATAGATGTCTAGAAAAATGCCTAGCGAGGACCAGGCTCTCTATTTGGGTAGGTTTTAAGAAGAGGTGGTAGGGGGCTATGGCTCAGTGGTAGAGCTCTTGCCTAGTATACTACAAGGCTCTGGGTTCAATTCCCAGCAAATACACAAACACACACACACACACACACACACATGCACACACACAAATCAGAAAAGGTGATAGTAGAGAAGGGATGTGAAAGAAATAAGTGGGAAGGGAAAAGAGCTTAGGGGACAGAACCCTCTGTCATAAAAAAGAACTTTGGGGACAGTGAAGAGGACAGGAGATGTCACATGCACCTCTTTTGAATCTATTATCAAGTTCTGTAAGTTATTCCAGCCATGGCTTTATAAAGCATAAAGTTAGTGATAAATAGTTTTGTAGAATCATTTAATCAGATGAATTTAATCTATACTGCATTCAGAACATGCATGTACCATATGTGTGGTGGGCTGTGTGGCACGTGCTAATCCACTGAAGTGCTGGAAGCCCCTCCCTGGCAGGAGCCGGCTCTGCTCCAATGCTTTCAGCCTTCCCACAAACTGCTGAAGGCACTCAGCTCCTTGTGCTTCTTATGACCTGTTTATAGGGCTGTCTTCCCAGCAAACCCCCAGCTTCTGACCCAGTCTAATTCATTTTTGCACACTCTCAACTTAAGCCATGGCTTGGTGCATTGTTGATGCTCCATAAATACTTGAATGAGTGACCTTATAAATGAGCTCTAGGAGATATGTATAGAGCGATATTTCACTCTGCCAGTGAATTTCTTGGCAGAAAATTTTTATAAAAAATGTGATAGCAGACGTGTATTTCCCCGTAGACTTTATTAGCTTTTCCTAGCACCTCTTTGCAACAAAGGGGAACAATCAGTTGAAACCAAGGCCAGGGAATCTTCCTGAGGTCTTTTGGCAGGCACGCAATCCTCAGCCCTGTGGCCGAGTCCTTTCTCGGTCCAATGGCAAGAAAAGTGAAACTGCCCATAACTAGTACTTGAACCAATTTGAACTAAAAGGCCCAGAAATGCAAAACCCAGAAAATGTTTTGTACAGTGCTGGTCAGAGAGGATTTCCACTCAGGGATCCACGTGACTGTGATTAACTGGATTTACGTTTCCTGCAAGCCAGACACCAGACAGCAGCTCAAAATCAAAGCCGCCCGTGTAATGCTCTACATTCCTATTCCAGAAAGTGCAAAAGCAAGCAGTGACGAGAGCCCCTCCATTTACAATTAATTCAATCCACTCTCCATCTCCCGGTAGCCATGGAGAGACAGAACGCAGAACTCCCAGCTGCAGCCCTGGTCCGGTTAGAAACTGGTTTACCTTAAGCAACTTTACACAAGGCACTTTGCAGATTCTGCTTTCTGGGATGGAAGGCAAGTGGAGGAGATGGCCTGGGTGTGCCGCCAAATCTTCTAGACCAGGAAGGGCTGAGTGTGGGCGAGGCTGGGCTGCTCTGGGAAGCCCGGGAAGCTGCAGCCAGGCCTCAGGAGGAAAACACCAGCTTAGCAACGCGTTCCCAAGGAAGGTCATTGGGCGGCTTTTTTTTTTTTTTCTTTTAAAGTGACAGTTTACTTCTAGTTGAGGAATCCCAGTGCAGTGGGAATGCAGAGGGGCGCAGCCTACAGTGGGACACAGAGAGATCAAATCAGTGCTGAGGTGACGGAAACCCATGTCTCTAAGAACTCTACCCTTCCTCCTGTCATTTGACTGTCATGCATCATCCCTAAAGGACAGATGATGCTCAGAGCAGGGGCACTAAAAGGCCCCGAAGGGTGTCTGATTCAGAGCAGCAAAATGTTCCTTCCTGGAGGCACTTCAGGGCACCTAAGTGTTGCCCTGGGGGGATTTGGGGCTACCTTGGAAGACTGAATGCAGGAGGGGCTTAATCTCTGCTTATTCTCTGACTACAATTCCTGAAAAGGTGATATACACGCTATGGCTTTAAGAAAAAAAAAGAAGTGGAAAGCAGACAGAGTAATGGAATAAGCAAATAAGCAGACCAGGGAAAGCCACAGTCCAAGGACACTCCAACACACCTCTTTTCTCTCTCTCTTTTTTTTTTGATGCTCTGGCATTTGGGGCCCTGGTCCTGGAGAGATTGATTCCCCCAAGCTAGCTAATTTCTAGAGATAGCAAATTAATTTCCTGAAATAACGCAAACTCTCCTTTGATATACAAACCAACCAATCAAAACCCACACTTCCAACCATTTCTTTTATCGAACATTCATATCAAGCCAATATTCTTCCTGTCCTGTTCACGCCAGGGCCGGGTACAAGCCAACCAGGGACCCCCTCTGCAGTCCAGAGCTCATGGAAATGGTGCCAAACTCACCCAGCCTCTCCACCCTGATCCTGCCACTCCTTCCCAGAAACCCCAGGAAGGCCCTGGGCCATCCTCTGCCCTCTCTCTCTGTCTTAACTTGGTTCTTCCCTATGGCCCTACAGGCATGTGCTGGGGTTTGAACCTGTCCCTCCATCCCAAAGCAGGTGTGGGAAACACAATTGCCCTGTGACCACGTTGGGAGGTGGCACTATTGAGAAACTCTGCCCTCACCCACCCATGGGTGCTTTATGGTGGCAGTGAGCTCCTCAGGGAAGGACGAGTTCACCCCCTCTTCTCTCCCACTCTCATCATCTGTGACACCA